AGGCGTAGAACCTGAGCCCAGATACATCTCGGAGACAAAGTGAGTACAGGGGCTTGCACAGTTGTTACAGTAACTGCTAGTCTCTGTATAAATGATATAATAATAACATTACTCTATATCGTACATGTATATTGACAGTAACTACTGGTCTCTGTAAAAAATAGTAATAATAGTACTGTATATCGTACATGTATATTGACAGTAACTACTGGTCTGTGTGAAAAAAAAAATTGGTAATAATATTACTGTATATCGTAAATGTATATTAGTGTACTCGATTTAACCACATGCATGAGATATACTATATTCTCATTTGTATGCTCTATGTGTAATGTAAAACAACTATGTATATTATATACACAGATAATATACATTATGTATAACACTAATTCCAAATACTATAGACTCTCTGACTTGTGATAATCCACAACGTTCTCTGTTGTTAAACCTTGACCTTCTAATGGACTGTTGTAGAACCGTTACTTTCAAGTGGACTGTTGTAAAACCGTTACTTTCTAGTGGACTGTTGTAAAACCGTTACTTTCTAATGGACTGTTGTAAAACCGTTACCTTCTTGTAAACTGTTGTAAAACCTTGACCTTCTAGTGGACTATTGCCAAACCTTGACCTTCTAGTGAACTGTTGTTAAACCTTGACCTTCTAGTGGACTATTGCCAAACCTTGACCTTCTAGTGAACTGTTGTTAAACCTTGACCATCTAGTGAACTGTTGTTAAACCTTGACCATCTAGTGGACTGTTGTTAAACCTTGACCATCTAGTGGACTGTTGTTAAACCTTGACCATCTAGTGGACTGTTGTTAAACCGTGACCATCTAGTGAACTGTTGTTAAACCTTGACCATCTAGTGGACTGTTGTTGAACCTTGACCTTCTAGTAAACTGTTGTTAAACCTTGACCATCTAGTGGACTGTTGTTGAACCTTGACCTTCTAGTAAACTGTTGTTAAACCTTGACCTTCTAGTAAACTGTTGTTAAACCTTGACCTTCTAGTGGACTGCTATTAAACCTTGACCTTCTAGTAGACCGTTGTTGTACAGTTGTACCTGCTAGTTGACTGACTCAGTGTCGTGTCCTTAGACATGCTATCTGCTGACGTTGTCTCTAGTTGCATGAAACATATTATCGTATTTTCCTCCTATATCATTTCTGAAACGGTGGCCAAATACAACCACACGATGGCCAAATACAACCACATAATGAGGGCACAATGTCTAATCCAAACATATTTGTTCCTTGAACAGTTTTGTTATATTTGGCCATGTTACTGTTAGCGTTCGTGTGATTTGGAAAGGTCTGTCTGTCTGTCTGTCTCTTTGTCTGTCTGCCTGTCTCTCTGTCAGTGTCTCTGTCTGTCTGTCTGTCTGTCTGTCTGTTTGTCTCTCAGTCTCTCTGTCAGTGTCTCTGTCTGTCTGTCTGTCTGTCTGTCTATCCCCACCTTCTTCAAACGTCCAAATCTCCAGGACGCTCCAAAAGCTCACTGGGCGTGTTGGGGTAGCAGGTAGCCGGTATATTACACCCCGCCCCCTCCCCCCGCTTGCCTGCCTTCCCTGTAGGAAAGAGTTCGAGCCCCAGCTGAAGCCAGTGACCGCCATCATCAAAGTGCCGCCGCCCCCCGTGGCGCCCAAACCCAAACCCCAGTCGGTGGTGTCCAGGTAGGGAGAGGCTGCGCTGCGGAATGCTCTCCCCTTGTTTTACCAATCATTCCTCTCGGCTGTGGGCTTTTGGGCTTATGGTTACCCTTTCTTTTATGGCTTTAAAAAGAAATTATTTTTTTTCACTGGAAGCTGCATCTTTTTTTAATCTTTTATCTCTTTAATTTGACTTTTTTTTCTTTTTTCTTCTCTGCTTTGAATTGTTTGAAATCTGCTTTGCGAAATTGCATTATTTTCGTCAAGAACACACTTCATTATTTTGCTTTTCCCCCCACAAATTGCACTCCCCCCCAACCCCCCCTCCCCCACCCCTTTCTAAAAGTAAAGTTAAATTGTGTTTTTTAAAAAAGGACCTGAAAATGCATTTCTGCTTGAGTCTTGCATGAGTATAAATCCACTAATTGAACCAGCTGTATTTCTTTTTTAACCACTGGCCTTCTTTCCGTTTCCTGGATGATTTACTATTTCATTCACACCTTTTGTTCCACTTCTATGTTGTCTTTGCTTTATCTTTTTGTGTTTGAAGCTTTCCGTTAATCGCTACCTCTGGATTACAAAGTTCTATCAGCTCAATGCGTAGTTTGGAGAAATATGACGTCAAAGATTTTGAGTTTCACATCCTGTCAAGTTTTTTTTTCAAATGAATTTTTTTTTTTTATGTCTTGATAACGACTTCGAATAATCTTACGATTTTGATAGAGAAGTTAGGACATTTGGTTTCTGACCTCATGGTCTTAGTAACTCAAAACTGCCAAAAATGTCCTAAAGAACTTTGTAATTCTCAGGTAGCGTGAGGTGATTGGTGTGTCATTGTCTTGCAATAGATGCATGTTTTACATTTTTTCACTGCTACATTTGGAATGTATTTTCATCACCTTAATCTGTCCAGTCTGAACACTCCAACAAAACACCGCCAATCTCAAGGCAGGGCTCAGGTTGGGATTTACAAAAGAAATGTCGTGGACAAACCACAAAATGTCTTTACCCGAGTCCCCGCACATATCCCCTCCCTTGTCCCTGCATTGCCTCCCCCCC